GGGCAGGGCAGGGCAGAGGGGGGTCTCCCTACCCTGGCTCTGCAGGGAAGCTGGTGTGGCATGAGGAGGGCTTGGCAGCACTTTACGGCCCCTTCAGCCCGCCTGTGTGCGCAATTCTAGGCTCCGTGACATCTAAGGTTCTTACACCCCCAGACGCAGCATTCCCCCCATGTCAGTGCCGCAGGAGCCGGAGTGGAGTGAGAGATCAGAGGAGCCGCACGAGGAGGGAGGCAGGTGGGAGGGCTGTGAAAGGGGAACAGGTGGGAGAGGGAAGGTGAGTCAGCCCCAAGCAGAGCTGAGCCAGCAGGAGTTTGCAGCGCAGCCAGGCCTGGGAGCCTCCCTGCAGCTGCGGGCTCTCGGCACCTCATGGCCCTCTCCCCCAGTGCCCACACTGGAGCTGACCTTTGGCACTCCAGAAGTCCTGGCTTTGGGCTTTCACTTGCCTCTTCTGTGTGACCCTGCCACAGGTCACCTTGCATGTGACCAGAGAGACCAGGCCCCTCCCAAAAGAGCAACTACCACAAGCATATGAGCAAGACGCAAGCTGGTGAAGGGCCTGGAGGGACCTTGGAACGCCCCATGTTGCTCTGGATGGTGGATGACGGGCCCTCTTTGAGGTAACCCCACATGTACCCCTTCCTCACCCTGCGTCCAGGCCTCTCGCATATCTTAGAGGAGGGTGGACATCCCCGAAGACGTGCTCCAGGTGGAGGCTTCTGAGTCTGGGAGCACCTGAGCCTGAGTCCTCTTCAGTTACTGCTCGTAGCCCGGGAGCCGTGGCATCCTGGGGATGTGGAGGGAGGACCGGGGAGACCTGGCGAGACCCACCCAGGGCCTGCGGGGCTGGATAGAGGGACATCTCTCATGAGCCTCCAGGGTCAGGAGTGAGACCCTGGGGTACTCAGCTGACAGAAGAGGACCAGGGGTCCTTCCAGAATGTGAATTTCTTTCTTGCTGAGCGGCCCCCACAGGCTCTTCCGGGGGGCTCCCAAAGACCACAGGTGCGCTCTGGGAAATCTGAGAGGGGGCAGAAGAGGAAAGGAAGCAGCCCCTCCCCCTCATTGAGCCCCCACCCGGGAGAGGATGGAGTGAAGGAGAAGCAGGGTCCCGGGCCTCTGACTGTTCTCACTTTGTTTCCAGCCAGTTCTCTGGTTCTCTGGGCCACCATTTATTTCCTCATCAGTAAAAGGAGGCCATAATCCTTGTCCTGGCTTCCTCTTGGAGTTTCGTAAGAGTTCAATGAACCCAAGGACGTGAAAGGTGTTATGCAAATCAGAGACCTGATGAGTTATCTGTTGGGAGGCTTGGATCCCGAACGAGGCTCTGTCTCCAGGAAAGAGGTCTCCAGTTTCCTTCCGCAGCAGCGCAGCATACGGGGTGCACAGTGATTCACCCAAACGGCAGCTATACCGCCGGGGCTGGTGAGACGTGGTCATTCACAAGGCAAGCTTGCCGGCTGGTTCCCTGTTTCTCGAGGCAGCTGGCACCTTTGTGTGGAAGATCCCTGGGACCCAGAAGGGTGCCTTCTGCTTCCTTACAGCCCGAGGCACACAGTCGGCCTGTAGAATAGAGGTCGGGTGGGAGGAACCCTCAAACTCCAAGGCTCTGGGATAGATGACCAACTATGGCCACAGCTCCCTCCTGCTCGGCATGTCCTTGGCAATGTGACTTTGCCTCCTTCTCAAAAGGTGGAGTCTGATTTCCCACCCTTTGAATCTGGGCTGGCCTTGTGACCCGGACTCTGCCCGACAGACTGCAGTGGAAGTGGTGTTAACTCTGCCCGACAGACTGCAGTGGAAGTGGTGTTATCCAAGTTCAAGGCTAGGCCTCCAGAAACCTTCGCCCTCTTAGGTTGCTGCCCGGAGTCGCCATGAAGGAATGTGATGTAGCCTATTGGAGGAGAACCAAAGCCCCCCAGAAAGCAGTCAGACCAGCTGCCGACATGTTCTTCGGGGGTCTTCCAGGCCCACTGACGGTCCAGCTGAGCACAGCTGCCGGGTGAGCCCAGGAGAAATCAGCTACGAACCCCAGCCCACCCACAGGACCCTAACAGAGGATGCATCATTGCTCTCCGTTTTGCACTGACTGGTTACATAGCATAGGCTAACCGAAGCCAGAGAAGGGAAGGGACTTACCCAAGGTCCCACAGAGAGCAGAGACCAAGCCTGTCTTGGTCAAGTCTGTGACCAGGTTTCCCGGCCCCTGGGCCCTTCCCATCAGTGTCCTGCCACCAGCTCTACCAGCGGTGTATGGATCTGCATATATGTAGGGAGGTGTGGATCGGGTGGGCCCTTCCCCCTTCCACCTGAGTTAGGAAGGGTTGGCTGACATCCACACAGGGCTATCCTGCCCATTATCGC